CATTTTACATATTTTCAACATATTCACTGAATAATACTTACCTACTTTGTGTAATTAAAAACGCATTTAATGAAATATTTATTGTATATTTCAGATTAATTTATATCTTTAAAATGCGTAAGGTTTTAAATACTTATTTTTCTATCATGATTATAACTGGAAGGTCTGGAAACAACGATTCAGCGCACCGAAGATGATGACGATGAAACAGAAATTCCCGAACGTCCAGAAGATGACGGTGAAGAAGAAGAAAATTAATACTTTTGTTCTATAAATTATTAAAGATTTCTAGATTTTCACTACAATTCAATTTCAATCGTAAGAAATGCACAGGTACTGAACAAAGATAAAATTAAAATACATTAACTCGTTTTACTTCCTTAAATTTTTACTTTGAAAAAATTAATATAACTTTTAGATATATAATAATATAACAAGTATAATATATTATCTAATATATAAAAACTTACACATTTGAAAGATAAAGTACTTAGTTATTTTTCTACTTAAAATCTACTTTCAATAAATTAAGTTATACATACAATAAGTATTTCATTTAAAGAGTTTTTAATTCCACAAAGTAGGTAAGTATCATTATCATTAAATGAATGTATTGAAAATATGTAAAATGTTATTAAATGCAATGTATTAACTGATAAATAATACAAATTATTCAAAATTAAAGGTAGTATTCACAGATATTCACGGTTGATTGCATTACAGTACGTATGGATGAGCGCTGCGCGCTCACTGCCCTCTATCTCAAAAACGATTGAGCGCATGTAAAAGTGTTTCAAATAAAATGTGTCCCAAATTTTGTGCTCTACAATTACGATAATAGATGTTAACATCATTGGAGCACTAGAAACCGAGATAATCGCAAAAAACTGTTTTTCTTCACCTTTGACCTTGAATAACTTACGACGCAGACACGAGATTTTATGAGACTTTTGAGACAACTTTTAGAACGCTAAAATGAAGGTATATACGAAAATTCAGCTTATTATCTCTCATTCCGAGGTTAATCGCTAATTTGACTGGACTATAAATGAATGAACGAATGATAAGCAGCAAAAAGTCGGTTTTATTTTTAATTGAAACTGAAAGTGTTTAGGTCGTTTTTATTCGAACGTTTTTCCAACTCTGTTTACAAGGTGGCTCAGTGCCTTCGTATCGAGGGTGGTTCATGGGGGTTTTGCCCCATTCGATTTTTAATTTGTTTTTTCTATATTTCGGCTCTACTAGGGTGGGGGATGCCGTGGTTAAAATATTTGCACTTATTTCGCAGTCACCCTGTATGTTGGCTGGAGATTTTACATTCCAGTCCCGTTAATTTCAGCCTGATGTTTTTCATTTCCGTAAACGGAATTTCAAAGTTATCATTTATTTCTGTTTTCATCTGCAGCAGTAATTCTGATAGCGATGTACTGTCGTCATTTACGGTGGCATTATTTAACGTGGGTGCCGGTATACTATAGTGGAACATATTGACTTTTTCTTGTAGCGCAATGACTTGATTATGTAGATCCTTGTTTAGGTCTTTGAGTACACTATTTTCAACCGTTACAGACTTATTGGTTACTGAGTTATTTAGCACATCGTCCGAATCTTCTTCGTAGGTGAAAGTAAGTTGATAATTTTTGTCGAGATTGTCACACCGATGTTTTTCTTCTGTTATCATAGATTGTTCACAGCTGTTTTTTCGTTTTTTTTTTCTGCACAACTTGGATGAAAGTATGACCCACAGATTGCATATAGGGCCCTTTTTCTACAGCAGGATTATTGCAGTAACAACACAGAGGTTTCTCGCGCTTTTCACCCATTCTTATACACACACTTGAATTACATTCGATGCCGAACTTGGCCGTGCCTTTTTTTTCTTGTATTTGTAATGCGCTGTGCAACAACACGTGGTGGACACTAAATTCAAGAACGACTCACTCTATCTAAAATTTGGGAATACAGTATTGTTATGATTAGTAGAGAAAAACTTGTTTAAAACGAACGCATAGCACGCTCTTTTACCTTTACTCAAACATTACATACAATAGGCCCAATTCTGAATCAAACCTGTTAAAATTTAAAGGTTGTTAAAACATAAACAGCCAATCAGATTTACGAATTTAACTCGTTACTATGGAAATTTGCAATTTAACACCCTTTAAATTTAACAACTTTGATTCAGAATTGCCCCTATATTATCTTTAATTTAACTTGTAAGGGTTAGCATAAAAAAAATAAAATTCGCAAGATCAAATCTTATAATTTTTAGAAACAGTTGGATTTAATGTACTCTGCACAATGAGCGAGGGAAGTTCTGTCGAAATAATCTTCGACCAATTTTTACTAGATAGGTAATCTTTGAAACTACCGGGCCGTTTGTTGTCAAATACTACGTGTATTTTAGAAATATCGTGTAGATGGTAAAACGCTAATCAAAATTTGTCTAATCATCCCCGCGAAGAATCATCTCCAAAATTTAGAATACTAAATGTTATTTAGATTTTATCAGATAATACAGGGTGACTGCGAAATATATGCAAATATTTTCGCAGTCAGCCTGTATACTCCTGCAGTTGTGGTTTATGAATCCGTTTACTCCAGACATTCAGCTTTTTGGGAAAAAAATGTAAATTGTATAACAACATTTTGCTATTTAACTTTGAAACTGCAAAACCGAATGTCCTGATATCTTGCAAACGTTTTCAAGTAAACATGATAAAATTATCGTTAATCAGAATTTATCCATTTATTTATTCCCTTCCAAAAAAATGATCGCGTAATCATAAAATTTAATTATAGAAAAACTCACTTCGAATACATGGATAACATACTTCTTTATCTGTACTTTAAAAATCCACACGTCTTTATTTCAACTTATAGGGGTTATAATAAAAAAAATGAAATTCGCTTTTTTTTAATATTAACCTTGCTCCGAATATGTATCAATAAAAGTTGCAGATAATTGTATGTATTATCTAAAAAAATTCTCTATAGAACATTCGGCCGAATGACGGCAACCCCAGTCCCCACAACTCAGTTTTACAATTATAGGCTTGTAGCACATTTGACTACAGCGCCCTCAATGGTCACTTATTGCATATACTCGTAACTATACAGGTTTTTGAGAGATTTGTTTTGGCATTAATGAATGTCGGACCGTAATTAACATAGCCAGATCACTGTGTTTTGTTGTAATTATGGAACACCGTTCATTTCGAATATCGAATGTGTCGTGTTGTGTGGTGGGGTGTCATAATTCATACGCGAACAGTAGCGAAATAACATTCTTGTCACGATTAATAAATAATAGTTTAAAAAACTAAAAAAACACGCTTTTATTGCTAATCGAACTAAAAACTAGAAAATAATTTTTAATGACAGAGTTTAATATTACAGTAGTAAAAGATCAAACAATCAATCATAATAAATCACCTCAAATTAAAATTATAATAAAATTTAAGTTATTAACAGAATAATTCAATTCAGAGTAAAAAGCGTGGGGTGCTTGATATTTTAAATATTACAATCATTCTATTGGCAACTATCTATGAGAGGATAGTTATGAACCGCAGTAAAATGCACCCCACGCTTTTTACTCTGAATTGAATTATTCTGTTAATAACTTAAATTTTATTATAATTTTAATTTGAGGTGATTTATTATGATTGATTGTTTGATCTTCTACTACTGTAATATTAAACTCTGTCATTAAAAATTATTTTCTAGTTTTTAGTTCGATTAGCAATAAAAGCGTGTTTTTTAGTTTTTTAAACTATTATTTATTTTTCATTTTTTAGTCTGCGACAAATTCATAAATTGGGGAATTAATTACTTATTTAGATTTTTCTAGAAAGAACCACTCAGTGGTCTCCGTAGGATCGAAGATCCTGGCGGTCCTAATAAGGATAATGGGAAACTGTTATCAAATTATTGCATTGTCATCGATCCTTGAGACGTGTGCAAAGTTTCAAGATGATCAGACTTTTAGAAACCGATGAAAATTAAGCTCAAAGATTCCGTTACATACATACATAGATACAACCCAAGCTAATAAAAGCGTGATAAAAACAGGAGTAGTAATGCTAAATCGTATTAAAACCGTGAACAGCGAGTTGTGTTTATGTTTATCCACCAAATACGTCAAACGTCACCGCGTGAGAGCACTGATGCTAGTTCTGTACTACAGGTCTACAGTAAACCCTATGAAACCCTAAAAAAAATCGCTGTCTACCCAATATGCACAATCCTATGTCGAATTGACTGTGCTATAATTGTATTTGTGTTATAAAATTTACTGGTTTGGAAAGAGACACATCATTGTATAAGAATTATGAAATGTGCAATTATTTCTTTTTCCAGAATTGCTGTGTCATTAGTACCGGCTAATTTTGTCGACGATGCCTTTAATTACTTCACGTAGATGCACGAACACACATAGTTTCTAACCTTTTATTGGTCTTATATTTTTTTCTTAACACGGACAGATTTACTAAATAAATTAATGACAAAATTATCAAAGCGCTCGATCGTTTAGTCAAAGGCAGCTTAAAAGAATTCATAGAAGAACTGTGTCCAGATTGAATGGGTTATATTTTTTATTGTTGTGGACTCACCACAGATTTTTAATTGTGACGTCATGTTTTTTCTAAAATGAACTTTACGTTTACCAGAGTGAACATTGACTAAGAAATTGAAAAACCGTAACTTGTTTTTATTGGTGTATAAAATATATATAAAAGTATATAAACAAATTACTTCCTGATGTGATTTCCTCAAACCTAAAAGGTGGTTCTCCAAAGAGAAAAGTATAAAAATAATATTTTTTGTTTATTTCAGACGGTGAAATTGATTATTGGATGTTAACTAAAATTGTTCCGTGTAGCTCTAAAGTGTGTGAAAACTGGCGTCACTTTTTAATATCTGCTGTGAACATTTTTTTTTTAATTTATTTCTTGATTCCTAGAGACATTTTTTTGTAATTTGTTGTAATCTTTCAGTTAACTTAGAAAGGTGGTGCAGATTGCGTGGAAATCTATTATTTTATTTCAAAAGTAAAGATCCATGGTCAGAACCTTTAGGTGTGGTAGTTTTAGAACAATGCCAAGTACGAATCGATCCACCAATGGCATCTCCACCTTTAACAACGGATGGGCATTTTCCGTTTTATCTAGGTCTGTAAAAAATACAAGGTGATTCGGCTTAAATGAGGAATGTGATTTGTGGTTAGCGGCAACCCAAAATACATTATTCATTGATTCTTACTGGAATTTCAAAAATATCACAAACATTTTTTAAAAACCTCAAAGAAAGTGGCACTGTCACGTATTACATTTGAAATATAAATTGATGGAAAGTAAATGTGAGGATTTTCTAAAACAGTCTGCAAAACTCGGATCTTGTTATCCAAGCGGTTAAAACATTAGTCACATGCCAGTCGCTTCATAATTTCATTTCAAGTCTTGAAAATTATATCTGTTATTAGATGTCAACATTTGGAATATTTCTGCACGTACAAATTTGCCGCCACCAGAGCATTTTTTTGACACTCTCCATATTAAGATCATGTTCGTTTTTTCGGCGTTAGTAAAAATTGACTATGACATAAGAATGCAAACTTGGATTTATGATATTTTTTAAATTTTGCTTTGAATGAAGAAATAGAAGAATAATGTTTTTGGGGTGCCTATCGGGTCAGGTCAAATTCGTCATTTACCCTGAATCAGCGTGCATGTAAAATAGTACCATTTATAAATTTAAATTTGTAGTATTTGACGGGGGTTTATGTCAAGCATTAGCAACAATTTCGGACCTTGACCGTTCAAGTTGGATCGACGCGATTAAAGTAGCGAGTTACGAAGGAATACGAGCAGAATTAAATGCACTAAGACAGTGTATAGAACGCCGTCGATGCTACAAACCAAATGTAGATTTACAGACATGGAGGCTACAAAGGGCCCAAGTTTTAGGTGAGTAGAAAGTGTGCCAATAATGGTATCTTCCAACAAAATATTAGATGTAGCAGAAGTTCCCATCTGTGAAATATCGCTTGCATGTGACAACTTATTATGCGATGGGCACGGTTGTTCCCCGAATCCGTCGATAGTCATAGATGTTTATATGTCTTCAGCAAAATTATGGGTTCAGTATGGGCGAACTGAAATTATAGAGGTATAATATACAGATTACAAATATTGTATTTACTTTTTCTTTTTTCCTTTTTTTTTAGAAAAGTAGCAATCCAGGGTTTTTAAACACAATCAGTTTTAGAGCAAGTGATGGTTTAACTTGCGATTCTCGCATTAGATTTACGGTTTTTGATGTACGGGAGAGAGTGTCTCACACAGCTGTACCTATAGGCTCAGCATGTGTTCTTCTGAGTGCCATACAAGATTCATCTCGTTTACGTATTCCTTTAGTATCAAGAAACCAATCAACTGTTGGTTTTCTTTCAATAAGCACTTGGGCTTTAGAAGCAGAAGATCGGGGTAGCAGCACTGAACATACACCTTGTCGAGCACCTTCACATAATAATGCACAGGTAGGACATATATGTAATCTACTTCTCTTATGTCTATGTTAATGCATGCATAAATACAATTTTAAAAAATAGAATAACAAATTTTACATTTTTCGATAATTTTCACTATTTCACCTTTGACATTGAACTAACAATCGTGGAATTATTAACCACGATATTTTAACTGTCCATAATATGGAAACTCAATTTTTGTCACTTTCATGTTAAAATATTGTAAGTAGTTGCATAAGCAAAAAGGTAAAATTTACATTTAAGTCAAAGCGGTGTCTACATTGTGAGACATATGGAGAGAATTAATTACTTATTTGTAACGCAGACAAAATTTGAGAGCAAGCAGGGCTGTTTTATTTTGAAAGTACACTTTGTAATAGTAATAACATTAATGATATTAGTACGGGATTGAAATCTGAAGTTGAGAAGTTAAGAAATGAGGTCTCTGAATTGAAAAAGACCATCAAATTATGTTAACGAACTCTGAATCGCCAAAAACATTATGAGAAGAGGAGGCTACCAATGAAATTGAGGATCAGCAGCGGAGTGCTTTCATTGTAATTATGTACAACGTAGCTCAATCTGCGGTTACTATAGAAAACAGGAAAAAAGATGATTTGTCGCGTTTTATGGAGGTGGTTTCATGTCCTGAAGTTAATAACGAAATCATTATGGATAAAAGCTACAGAATGGGGAAATTCAGCGGGGACAAGTATCGATCTCTGTTAATTAAATTTAAATTGAGCGAGAATGTTATTGAGATTTATGAGCCGTGATCTATTAAACAAAAAAAAAATGGCATTTTTAGTTTGGATAGAATTTAAAACCAGAAGGGATAATGGTGAATTTAACAATTACAAAAAATCAAATACTTTTACGGTGTTGCTAGCATTGTCAAACAAAAAAAAATGTATAAGAATCCAGCTTGCATATGATAATACAATAAATGTTAATGTAGGTTAACAAAATGTAAGGGGACTTAATTCCAAAACTGAACTATTATTCTACCCAGATATCCTTGATTGTAATAATGATATAATCACTCTAGGGGAATCGCGGCTTCTTTCTTTAATGTTTTTAGATCTGTCAATGGACGTAAAGGCAGAGGTGTATTAAGGGCTATTCACACGAAATATCCTCCTGAGGAAGTGGTCAGTCATTTCCCGTTAGCAGAAGTTGACTCGTTAATTGTTAGAGTTAGCTTAAAAAGAAAGGTCGTTAAAGTTGTAAATGTATATTTTGTCCCCCTGATAGTAGTCTTGGTATATATGAAATTGTATTTGATTATATTGAAAAAGCTATAAATCTTTTTGAAACTCTTTTGCTAATTGGAGACTTCAATATACCATCCTTTTATGATATAAAAATAATCCTTCCTTTGCTGTTAAACACCCATGTAGTGCATTATATACATTTAAGAGCTTTAACTCCCTTAACCCAACATAATGATATAGTAAATGATTATGGGCAAATTTTAGACCTGTTTTTGATAAGTGAAGACCATCACTGCATTGTATCAAAAAGTAATTCTCCATTTGTAAAATAAGATAAACACCATCCGACATTGCTGATAACGGTTTCTGTAGTAGATAAAACTCTGGTTCCATTTATAAAACCTAATTGCAGTAGCGACAATTATAATTATAACTTTACTAAGCACCCTTGCTCACCAGGGCACACAAGGTAGCGCATTTAAACACTGCGCTAAATCATCAGCATTGTAATGATTGCAGATGGATCTCGTTTTTGCCTGTGTTTCTCAGACTCTATAATGTTTTGGGGTGGCATTTCCTACACCGGACATACTGAATTGGTGGCGCTACCAGGAACTCGTTTATCAGTTCAATATTACCGATCTTTTGGTACTTCATGTCATGCCCTATGGAGCCTACATAGGGCCAAATTTTACATATGCACGATAATGCGCGGCCTCATATAGCCCTACATTGTGCAATGATATTTAGAAGAGGTTGAAATTCTGCTTCTACCATGTCCAGCCAGGAGTCCCGACATGAACCCCATTGAACATGTATGAGACCATGAGAAATGGAGGTTAAAGGAGCGTTGATTGGTTTTTGGAGATCTTAATGCCATGCAGAATACCATCGTGCAAGAATACAGGCTGTTCTTAGAGCTAGGGGTGGAAATACTTCGAAAATTTGACTTTTGTTTATGTTGAATTGTTATTAACATTTAATGACTAAGATAAAAGGCCAACTTCTCGTAGTAAATTTTGTTTTTGATCGTTTTGTCTTTATTTTACTTCGCTCTAATCGCTACAGTCGCCTACAGAAACATTTCTTATAGTAAATTCGGAAAATCAACGTGTTGCGTTAATTTTTGTTGGGTTGTTTATTTACAAATTAAAAATGCAATGAAATCTGCTGACTATTAAATCCCATAATTTGTCACATATTATTGTTTTACGATAAAGTGAGAGTACAGACTGCATGAATGAAAGAAACCCTTGTTTTTTTTGTCTTTTAGGTTTGGTCGCATAGAAGATCACAGTCACTTCCACCAAGATTAGGAGTAAAGATGCGGCTACCGAATCAATCCGATTTAAAATTATTGTATTCTTCTCCATTTATGCAAACTTACAGATTTCACTCTGGTCTGGGAGGAGATATTTGCGTTCATGAATTTATGGCGGAAAGCCGGTTGTGTTTTACATTTCCTCATCAATTGCTGTAAGTTTAAATCTGAATTTTTACTTTTTTTTAATAGATCATTTTTCTGTTTTTGTCTTCCTGTTAAACAAATGTGATAATTTTTTAACACACTCATTTTTGTACACAAAATAATCAACATCACATTAACCATTATTGTTAAATTAATTTCGTTGTTATTATCGATATATGTAACTTAATCTCAAATTTTAACCGGCTCGGGTGGATAAAAATTCTTGTTTTTTTTTCAAGCCGACGTTTCGCCATTAATTTATGTGCGGCTTCATTAGGATTTGTCTAAACCAAATAAATAAATAAACATACAAATTACAAATTAGACATGTTGACGTCATTACAGGACAAGAAATTAAAATAATTAAATAACTATTTATGTTAATTTCATATTTAATTTCTATGTATTATGTGTTACGTTTATTTCTATTTGGTTTAGACAAATCCCGATGAAACCTCAAATAAATTAGTGGCGAAAAGTCGACTTGAATAAAAACGAAGAATTTTTATCCACCCGACCCGCTAAACGATTGAGATTAAATTACATTGTTGTTAAATTTTTAGAGGTGTGTGGATTCAACAAGAGAAAGAATTATTACAAGAAGTTGCTGGCATGGGAGAATTACGTGAACCTTGGCATTCGCGGCAAGTTGAACTATTGGATCGTCATTTACATTTACTGCGTTTGTATTCCCAAGCTAGAGAAAATTTACAAGCCCACAAAGGCAGTTTGTTTAAACCTAGTTCACGAAAATCGGATCGTAGTTTAGAATTTGCGCCAGTCAATTTGCATTTGCAACGAATGTGGGTACATAACGATACACTTAATAAGGCTGATTTTTATGACTGGATTACAGTTGGTGCTTTCACTGCACATTCGCATAAGTCCAAAAATGGTGGTTTAATTAAGTACGTAATTTATAATAATGTTGTAACAAACAATGTATAATTTTTCACATTATAGATTAGTTCAGCAACTGAAAGAGTCGCCAACTCGCTCAAACTCAAATTACCAAATTACAACTAAAATATCAATGGCCAATGATGCAATCCAGGTAAAGTTCCATTAAATATTTTTCTTTTTCAAGAATGCATAAGTATGTTTCATTAATTTGGAACGAAAACGAATACCAGAGATAAACTTTCATGACTTGAATCTCCTAAATATTAGGATACAGAAAAAATCGTTTCGTTGTACTAAACTTGAATAATATACTTTTAATAAATATTCTTAGAATATTCTGACTATAGCTGAACAAAATAAGAAAAAAAACCTTTTTCAAAACAGTGTTAATGAATCGTACTTAATATTTCTGTATAGTTAAGATCAAGATAGTTAAACTCAGTAAATGTTTTACTATAAGAGAATTTTTGCTTGAGTTTCCAATACTTCTTAATTATCGACCTACGCGAGGTATGAAGTTATTCATTGTCATATACCGAAACGAACTCCTACAGTGAAGACATTATGTTTGTAATTGTATCTGTGTTACACTTGTTGCAGTTCTCTTCTTCGTAGTACTTGTCACAACAACAAATTTAAAGCGGAAATCGCTGTAGCATAACCTAGTTAAGAGGTTTCGAACATGACATAATAATCTTTGATTGCTATTTATTCTGAGTTTTGACCAGTACATATGAAAATGTTAACTAGGAAAAAATATAATATTATTTAATATACCTTGCAAAAAGAAATACGTAATTTTCTGTAAACAAGAACGTTTTAGGCGATTAAACAACTTCGCAAAGAAGTTGTCGATGGAATGAAAATATTAATGAGGCTTGCCAAAGAGAAACAAACTGTTGGGATGTTACCAATATGCGAAGATATGATACGTAAGACGAGAATACTTCTTAGTTTGTGGGATCCTGGTCTTGTCGAAGAGGCTCTAAACTTTGTTGAGGAATATAAACTTATAGTAACAGATGACTCAGGTGTGGGTGATGATTTAACGCTGGATAGTAGTGGAAAGCCCATTTTAGTACTATCCCCCTTCAAACGAATTACACAACAACTTACATCACTTAATTTGAAAAGTCCTGATCTCGATGATTTTGCTACTCCTTGTACGCCTAGAAATGTGGAAGATATATGGCATGTCTCTGATTCAAAATTACTAGTTAATAAAGACTCTAATCACGCAGATAATAATTTGTTAAATACTAGTGAAGGTGTTAAAAGTTTATGTTCGGAAATTCGTGGTGATGATGATACCAATTTTGTAATATTTCCTGATTGTGAGGAGAGTCAAAATGAAGTTTCTTTAGAAGAATTAAATTCAAATTCACTAAATATCACCAATGGAAATGAAAAACGTACCGAACCCGATACCAATCGTATGTTCTTAGATACTAATGTGATGTGCAGTTCACCTTCTGCAAATTATTATAAACCAACTGATGAACCTGAGCCATGGGATATAACACAATTGAACATCGAAGCAAGTGTGATGTGTTTAGTTAGTAAGGTGAAATTCCTATGTGGACGATGTGGCAGTCCTGCTGTACGACTACGACAAAATTCGAAATCTTTACAGAAATCCGTAATTACAGAACAACCAACCTGTAGCGTTAATAATAAGAAACTTACTGAATGCAGTAAAGAAGTTGAAAAAATTTCAAAAACAGTGAATTGTGTTACGAAGATTTCAAAAAATGGAAACAAATTTACTGATGGATTGGATTTAAATAAAATCGTTGATTGGGCTGCAGAATTGAGGCCGAGCATGAGAAAATTGCGCCAGGCTATGGATGGTCTTCTGAAAACAGCGCGTCTTACGCATTCGGTCTTTCGAGTACAGGAAGATCCAAAAGCTGCACAAAGAGTTTGCAATGTTCGATACAGACGCGACGTGTGTTTTTCTCAATCAGTAAGTAGTATGCCATTTTTGAACACCATTGCACATTGTTCTTTTCTGTGATACGAGAATCATTTAAGTATTCTTTCTGTTTATTAAAACATAACTTTAAACATTAACACATATATTTCAGTTTCAAATTAAAAGCAATAAATGTTTTAATGATGAAGGATAAAAACTACCAGTCGTATGCTCGTTCTCGTGTAATTTTGCTTTGAAATAATGCAGATACTTTTAATTTTTTATTATGATCACTGCCTCAACGTCAACTAAGGCTTGTCGCAGAAAGTTTTGCACATGTTTTGTTTTTGAATAAAATAAGAACGCCTCAACAAATCGAATCAAATTTATTTACAGTATACTAGAACAGCAATAAAATTATGAATTTATTAATTAATAATTTAAAATTAACGACTTACGGGAAAATAATCTCACTTTAGATCTAATATGACGCATTATTTTTTGCAAATTTGCACTAGAAACTTTTTTACTTCCCATCATCCACATTTTTTTGATGAATTCAAAATTTTTGGCGCATTTTCCGTCTTTTCTAAGAATTCCCTTAACTAGAGCCCAACATCTTTCAATAATCCGGAGTTCAGGTGAGTTTGGAGGATTATTTTCTTTGTCTGAATATTGGACTCTAATCTGCGCAAACCAATTCTTTGTTAATTATGAGTACTTAATACGAAGTAGCTAGGTCTGGCCAAAAGAAATTAGAACCTGGGTGAGCTATTAAAAAAGATAGTAATCGAGCTTGAAGGCATTTTAGGACACAAAAACCAGTGTTGATGGTGCTTTCAGCAAAAAAACCCTGTTTCTCTTGTCACGTTGGCAAATTGCTTGCCAAACAAGAACTTGGCGGCAAATTTTTTTCAAAAAAATATATTTTTCTTTGTCGCTGACATCTATCAATGGTCCCTTTTACCGTCCACCGCGTCCTATTAACTTCTTTCGCTGTTAAATTAAAAAATGTTTGAGAATGTTCGGAGCAAATTTGCAAAATTCGTTGTCTTACGCTAACTTTTTTTGACGACATTTTGAAAATCGTCGTCTTCGTTGATTCACTATTAAAGTCTCTCCAATTGGTTACAATCGTCCGACTTGTCAAAAGGGAAAATATCAAAAGATGTCACTCCCTTCGGGAGTTACAGGAACCTGTAATTAATCCGTTTTGTTACGCGCCAAAACAGTTTGTGCTTGAATTGAGATTATGAAAATGCCCAAAAAATATTGTTCTGTGCCTGCTTGTGGGGTAATCAAGGATCCTAGAGACCACAAAATAATGCACAGATTCCCTTCAAACACTGTGAACAAATGGTTGTGGTGCAAAAAGTTTTTTAATGCTACAAGTAGGTACCCCCACATGAATCTTTTACCTAAGGGAATGTATAGCCATTAAAACCATTTCAGGTGAAAATATTGCAAATAATTTATACATTTGTGGTAAACACTTTGAGAGAAGTTGTTATTATACAAATAAAAGACTTAAACCCGGTTCTGCTCCTAGTTTGTTCTTCCATGGTTCCAAGTCACCGCTACCTGTTCCTACTATCCTACTTCTTCAAGCTCTCCAGCAAGTACTAAACGTGATCCAGAATGCAGCTTCAATATTCCTGAGACACATTCCGATAACATTGTAAACACCTCAAAGAAAAGCTTTCCTACTGCATACCCCTTTGCAGACCATCCACGCCCATGGCGTTGTGACTTTGGCACCGGTACCGAAATTTTGCCCCTTCTTAAAGTAAAAACTGAAATACATGATGTCAAATTGTGTCAAAACGTCAGACCACGACAGACATTTAGCCGATATTACAGATTACTTTCCCTCCCGACGTATGCGCCCTCACATGTCACATTTAAGGGATTGGAGAGACTTTAATAGTGAATCAACGAAGACGACGTTGAAAATATATAAACTAATGACAGATGTGTAGACCATAGCCTACTGTAGCATATTTTACTTAATTCAAATGTCGGTTAAACAACTTTTTTGTACGACTATTGCTTTTTCAATCATTTACCGTACAGGTTTCCATAGCAGTAAGTTCAGTTTACGGGTTGCTACGACTAACAACCAAGAGGCGAACGGTAAGCAAATTACTTACTGTTCAGCTGAACGGTAAGTAATCACGCATTCAAGATTTTTTTAATTTTAAATTCCATGCTTGTTCGACTTCGATATTTTCGCTTTCAGAATTCTCATGATTGATATTTTAAGCAAATAAATCACTCACTAATAGTCGCGGAAAGAAAATTAACTCGAAATCAAGCCAGATCAAATCTAAATCGACAGCGGTCAAAATGGAAACTGATTTTTAAAATTGTTGCTTATATTAATCGAAACCATAGTAACAAATTTTAAATCAAAAAAAGACCTTGTTGATGTTTGATATAAATTCTTTCAATTTATGAATTTGATAAAAAGACGCAAATCTTTTGATGGTCGTACAAAAAATAGTATAAGCATCACGAACGTTAAGGGGGTTTACTGGTCTCAGACAAATTGGAGACGTCGCTTCGCTCCGTCTCCAAACTTTTGTCTTCGACCAGTAAACACCCCTTACCGTTCTTAATACTTAATATACTATAACAGCAGAATTTAAATATGGTGCAAAACTTTCTGGGACAAGCCTTATTATTCGTTTTAATAGAAATGGACATCTCGTTGACATCAAAACTGATTTAAATATCTGGCATCTGTCTAACTTATAGGTCTATGAGCCTTCGCTCATATGACTTATTTACTTATTAATTGCTATGAAAGTTCACTTAGGCACTTTTTCAATCTGGCTGATTGATACAACTAAACTAATAATTTTTCATTTTTTAGCTGACCTCTTTAGTAGCTGGATTGATGACAAGACTATGGTGTCACAAACCCGATCCTACATTTGTAACAGTTTTAAGTACTTTGGGACCATTGGCGTGTTTTGAAAGTCTACTAAGTTATCATGGTAACGAAATTGATATGTGGGGCGACATGTCGGTGGCAGTAGAAGATCTTAGGACGGTTATGTTTACTTTAGTTCGTTGTCCAAGTCCTGTGTCTTTAGAACCACAACCAGTACCTAAAGTTAGCGGTAGCAGAAATTCGCTCGTTGTATCTCTTCCGGTTCCAGATTCATTGTATAGTTTGATACCAAGTAGACAGATTTTATCTTTCCATGTCACTCCTGTTTTTTTTAACATTGGAATTAATGAAATGGCCACATTAGCAGAAAGCTTAGGAGCTACAAGAGCTCAAGAAGCTTCAAACATAGATAACTTTGACAGATTAAATGAATATTATCTTCGATATCGAAAACTGAACATTTCAGAGAATTCTAATGTATCAAATGGACGATTTATTGGATGTTCTTCTCAAGTTAAATCACTAGCGGAACTCATGGAGGATTTGAAAATATCGATTCATAGTGGAAAGTCAAAGAACGTGGAAGTTTTACATTTAGCATCTCAGATTTGCCGTCAAATGAAAGGTATGTGTTACTAATTATTATTTCGTTATTTATTAAATTGATAATAATACCAGAAAATCAGAATAACGACCGAGTATTATCCAAAAAATATATCGGACATTTTTTTATCTGTGAACATGGGCCACAGTATAGAGATCATTCAGTCAGGACAACTCGCTATTTTTACTGACCCGTTTTCGTGGGTGGTCGTTTGTCTTGTGACCGTATGAGGGCGCGCAACGCAAGGTACTTCTCTTTCTTACACATTGGAACATTGAACTGCGGTACTTTTAGTGACTTTAATGTGAAATATTTGAAATTTGGCAATTTAGTTGCATTGGTTTTGATGGTTTAAGGCTGATCTTCCGGTGTAATTATTTCAGTTAAGTGTAATTTTCATAGATACATTTTAAAAAGCATTGTTCATGTTTTGATGGGACCGGTGTCTACTGTTTTTTTTTGCGTTTTCTAATAACGTTGAATTTTACAACCATTTACAACCATCATGGAAAAGCAATTAATGAAACGTAAAATCGTAATCAGAGAAGCGGGACCAAATCTGAATTTCAACACGGCATCTTTGTTATAGGGCGCTTAATTCATTATTTATTATAATAGACTGTGATTTCTAAGATCCACTAGTTACAAAATGTTATTGTTATTACACTATTTTTAATTCTTTTCTAAAAATTAATTTGCACAAAGTGTAATAAACTGTGTACACGAATCAATTTTAAAATTTTCAAATGAAGCGTTTGTGATACTTTTTAAATTGGGTGGCGACATCTAGAAATATTTTGGGCAACGACCACCGATGACAGCTTAAAATTCGGGTCAGCAAGGTCAAAGGTGCCGACACGAGTTGTCTCTACTGAATGATATCTATACTGTGCATAGGCCATGTTCAGTTTTAAAACGACGTGGTCAACGAAGGAGCATTGTTGGTTGCCAAGCCAAGATAAATCGTTTTAGTAAAGCAGAACCTTTTTCAATTTTACACTGAAAACAAAGCTTGTTACGCACATGTTGAACCATAAACACAACAACAATTTTATAAAACTAACTATATTATAACAAATATTGGAAATGACCGCTATTCCAACCAATAAGCAAGTCTGTGATATAATCCTTGCACTGCATTTCGTACGAAATTTAGATTCAACTCCAAGATACATTCAACTCTTAGCAAGCTTTGACTATTTGTTCTTGTAACTTCTCAGTTGTTTGAATTTCTACATGATTATAAATTGTGATCCCTCTGTCCCAAAATGAGTGTCCGATTTCGATATTTTGCTAGATATTACCTTTATTTTTAAAGATGAAAAGGTTTTGTTTACCACGTATTTGGTATATCAATTGCAATATTTTAATCTAAAAAAAACTTTGATGGTGTATGTTTTGGTAACAATGATTCTTTGTTTCTAAACGAATTTAAAGAGAATTTGTTTAAAATACTGGCGTGGAGACAATATGGCGCTGAAAACAAAACCATTTAATTGCAAAAACTTATATAAAATTATATATTTGTTGTAGTAATAATAACTTTTCATTAAAAATACGTTTTTGCCTTTATTAAAAAAATCGAATTTTTTAGAAGTCGGGCATTTATTTTGGGACTAAATTTATTTCCAAATCGGACACTTAATTTGGAACAGAAGGAGTATTATGTATGTAGATGTTCCCAGAAAAAAAAATCATTTGGTGAAAGATCTAGTGATCAGGCAGGCCAAGCTACAGGACCAAATCTGCCTATACACCAAATATGTACATCATTTAAATAATCCGTTCTAAACTGTTCTAAATGAATGTACTGACGCACCATCATATATAGAACCAAATGTTATCAATATTCAGTGGATATCAATTTCAGGGATAATTACCATCAATTAAAAATGGTCCAATGAGCCTATTATTTATAAGGCCGGCGCACACATTTACTCTTCCTTTGTGCATTTGTGCAGGCTCGGTATCTGCGAATAATATTTAAATAATATTGGATAATAAAATTGTAGAAATTCTGACGTATAATTTTGTGAATTAACTTCGCCATTTGTACTAAATGGTCCCTCGTCTGTAAACACAATATTTTCTAAAAGTTGTTCCTCAGTGTTTAGTGAGTTAAACATTAATTCGCAAAAATCTGCCCTACTAATTTTATTCTCTTCAGTGAGGTATTGACGATTCCTAAATTTATATGGTTTAAACCGACATCCCTTTGAAACTTTAGTTACAAATTTTCGTTGTGGTAGATATTGGGTCTTCTTCAGCGTAGCATAATGTATTTAATTTCATCTCTTGGGTTAAAATGTGACATCTCTTATTTCTTTGATGATGACTTTTGGCGACGCATCTTCTTTTTTTTTTAATTTCTGATTATCTTACAAATTGTTGCGAGAGGCGAATCAGTCCCGTAAGGTACTGTATTGAAAATAAATCACGCACAATTCGTATACTACCACATACTATTCCAGCATTTGAATTCTTTGTTCTGTTGAATACATTATTGTGTGCTAATAATTTTGACATTTATTAGAAAGTATTTCAAAGCATTACTACTATTTTAAACGATGAGTTACTGTAATGTTGGGTGCATTACCATTACAAATGACTCGCCTGTGTCGTTTTAAAACTGAACATAGGCCTACATATATTCACAGATTGTATGATTATCTTTCATTCATTACCTTAAATGTATTTATTCACAAAGACTATTGATCGATAAAAAATATTACTCAATTTGCGACTATTAATGTTTACAAAGTATGCGATCATTCTTTAAAGCAGAAAATTAGAATCCTAATAAGAGATCATACATTAAAATGTATAATATCCAGGTTATCGCAATAAGCAAGAATAAAAATACGAGAAGTTCAGCAATTTAAAACGTGTGACAGGCCAAAAATACGTTTATTTATATAATCGCCATTTTGTGTGAAGTGTGCATTGTGTTAATCCTGATGTTACATTTTTTAGGTTTTCGTTTCACAAGCTGTAAGAGTGCGAAGGATAGGACAGGAATGTCAGTAACTTTAGAACAGTGCCAGATTCTAGTCGATGAGTACCATTTAGCAGAACATGAGTTCCAAAAAGCATTAGATTGTATGAGAAGGTAAGAGCTAACCACACCACGCTATTCGATGTTGAAAATTCGTCAATGTCGGATCGAATTTTTTCTTATGGAAATGTGAGAAACTTTCGAGTTTCAAAAACATTTTGTTAAACATTTCTGTTCAAGTCCGTCACCTCATTTCAATTTTTTATCTATTTATAAGCCTTTTATTTTTATGGTAAGTAGTTTTTGTTTTTACTTCTCAAGCTTAAGCTAAGGAAATTTTGTAGTCGTGTCCATCGGGCGACTGGCTACTTTCATATTTTTTCGACGTGTCATGACTCCTAGATTATGATAAAATGAGTCTCCCAATTCCGTCTGTATGTCTGTCCGCAGACTGTGTCGATTTTTTAGACAGATAATCTCCGAAACTACCGGTCAATTTTATGATTATTACGAAAATCATGTAGATGGTAAAACGCTAACCAAAATTTCTCTAATCATCCCCACCACTAATGCGATGACGTCACTTCAAAATTATACACAGCAAATGGGTTTTAAATTGTATAAAATAACATAGTCCTAAACGTGTAGATTATGACTCCGAATTGAGTTTTTACCCGAAACGTCCATATTTTTGTAAAAAAATCAAAATAATAAAACAACATTTTGCAATTTAATTTTGAATCTGCACAACCGAATTCTCTGAAATATTGCAAACGTTTTAAATTTATCGTAAGCATGATAAATTTTTAATGAAACCATATTAATATTTGTTTATCCCCCCAAAAAATTGTTTACGTCATCTCAAAATTTTGCCGAATAAATTCTGTCGAAAATGTGTGATGATTGGTTTATCATTGCATTAATATTTAGAATTGCTTAAAAAAATAATTTATTTATTTTATTCATTGATTCAAGAACGGCATACTCCAATTTCTCGAAAATTTGGGAAAACTGTTATTATTATTATTTCACTACACCTATACAAATTCATGTACGCATCCTTGCAAAAAAGTTAATGACGTCATCACAAAATCTTGCAAAGAAAAAACTCGTTTGAAACATACGTGTGGCACGCTTATTTATATTTACTTTAACATATCGCACATATCTTCATTTAACTTGTAGGGGTTTTCATTAGAATAATATAAAATTTCCCAAAATAGAATTTTATAATTTTTCGAAAAATCTGGATATGTTTTATTGTAAGGGCGAGCGAATTTCTGTCTAAATAACCGTCCACCAATTTTGTGTTAATTTGTAAGCACGTGTAATGTTTTTTCGATTATTTCTCTTTCCGATTTCTTTTAGAGCTGAAATTAAAAATTTTCTTTGTTTCCCTGATATTTTTGAAAGAAAGGGTTTTCTTAATCTGCACAAATTTATATTAACATTGAGTATTCTGTACTTCGTTAATTAGGTGACACGCAGATTTCGATTGACTTATAAATTTTATTTATTTATGCTTATTTTATACTTACTAATGTAATAAATCAGTAGATAATATTTTGAAGGGATATTCCTAAATTATTTCGACAGAATTTGCCCCACTCCTGAAACACAATTAGTCGCATTCATTTTTTTATGAATTATAAATTTTGGTTTTGCCAGTTTGTTTTATCATAAATCTTATAAGTTAAAATACAAATAAGGACAAATTAGTAAACTACAAGTAAATAAGTATGCTACGCATATGTTCGAAGTGAGATTTTCTTAATAAAATTGTCATTACGCCATTAACTTTTAGTACGCACAAATTTGGATAAATACGGCGTCATATTAATAACGAAAAATCACAGTACTATGTTTCTAGAATTTTAGGAAAAACGTTTTTCATTTAGCCAATAATTAAATTTCTTCATTAGTTTTAAGACATATCTTGTGTAAACAATTAAAAAAAAAAGTGAGTGTATTAATAAACCACCATGTAGACACATAATATGTTGTACATTTAGATAAAATTTATCTATTACAACAAAGTACTGAGATGACGTCATCAAGAGAAGTTGCTTGTGTATTTTTTAAGTTAAACTCCATTGTAAAATGTAGGATTTTGATTTTTCTTTCTAAAAATCTAATCTTTTAGGTAAAATTTCAGAACAATCGGCACAACAGTTTCGGAAATTATCTGCTTAATGAAATCGGCGATAGATAACCGACAGACGGAAACGGCAGCTTACTTTTTCGTACCGTAGAAGCTATGACACGTGGAATACATGAAATGAGCCATTCTTCAAACGGGCCTTAGTACAATACTTACCGAGCTTATGTTCAAGAACTAATATATTAAAAATTTCGATACAGTCATGACTGCAACAATAGATAAATAAAAAGAAAGCTTCCACCAATTTTGTTAACGTTACTCGCACTAATTCGAAATCATTTCTTTTTTAGTGAAGGTTGTAGGAGGGAAAATACATTGAAGAATACAAATGTTAGAAAATACGCATTTAATTCTCTGCAGTTACTAGCATTGCCAAAACTATATAGACCACCAGCGGGAACATATGGTTCAGCGCAAACATAGTTATATTTATTTGTAACATATGTATTATTATTTGTTCAAGTTGCCAATATGATAGTATATTGTCAAATTTCACTTAACTGTTGTTATAGTGTAAAGTTGTTAATAACTTTAAGTTATTTTGTTTTTTTTTTTTAGATAAATAAATCATTTGGTATTATTCTCAATATTTATTTTTTTTACAAGAAATTTCCACCAGATTTTCTTTTTTTCTTATATATAATTTTAATCCAGATCCGAAACGAATATCAACTTGCCTTTTTTCTATCTGTTACTAAACTGTTTAAAATATTACTTAACAGTGTGAACTACAATATTTAAGGGAAGCCCTGTTTAGTACTGTCACTTTTTAACAAACCTGATGCAAAATAATAATAATAATGAATATTCTTATTATTATTAAAAGGAAGCGCTCGGGCAGAGACCGAAGTCTGTTATGCCCGCGCAAGACGACAGTTAATGGAATCACAAATTATTTCAAATATAATACCTATTACTAACTATGGTTTCGAAAGGTGTAGTTGTCCTTGAATCTAGGAACGGAAGCACTTTCAACAACTTCAGGGAGTAATGCATTCCAGTCGGTGAACACCATGTTAGTGACGAACGTCTGACGAATAGAAGTCCGAAAATTGTCCTTCTCCAATTTGAAACGGTCACCTCTGGTCCGTCCACCAATCTTGAGAGGAAAAAGATGTCTGATAGGTGAACTAATATTTGTAGAAGCCTGAAATGTTGTCAACATGTCACCTCTTACATGCCTGTCGGCTAACGATGGCAATTTCATAAGATTAAGAGGTCTATTTTGTAATTTATCGTCTGTCAGGGTAAGAGGGGCGCACTTGTCCATACGGTACTCTTGTGGCACAACGCTGGACAGATTCTAGTAAGTTGATATCACGTTGTAATGTTGGAACCCAAACGCAGTTAGCATATTCTAATATCGGTCTAACATAAGTTTTATACAGTTTAGTTACAGTATTTACATCAGGTTTAGCAAATGTCTTTCCGAAAAGATATAGTATCTTGTTGGCTTTTTTCACGACTTTTGCGATATGTTCAGACCAGGTCAAAGTAGACGTTACGATGACACCCATATCCGACAAAGAATCACACTTGGTACGCTCGGTGCCGTTGATAAAATAAGTTTGCTTCGGATTGTCGCTGCCTAAATAAAGGATATTACATTTGTCTGCATTAATTGGAAGTAACCATTCTAGTGACCAGTTATAAATAGTTGCTATATCCTTCGTTAAGACTTCATAATGGGAACAAATATTGTAGATTTTCAAATCGTCAGCATACATTGCCCAAGGAGAAATTAAGCAGTCTTTTATATCGGATACATACGTTAAAAACAACAAGGGTCCTAATACAGAGCCCTGTGGTACACCGCTCAGAACTGGAATAGGAGAACTAAACATGCCACCAACCTTAACCTTGAATATTCGCTCAGAAAGAAAAGATTCAATCCACCTGAGAAGACTATCTTGGATTCCATAATGTCGGCACACGATCGAAAGGCTTCGAAAAATCAAAATACGCGATATCAACTGAGCCACCAGAATCGAGTTCTCTGGTCCAGTTGTCTAAACAACAGAGCAAATTGGTCGCTATGGACTTTCCAGGTGTGAAACCATGTTGCTGGCAAGGTATAACATGGTGTGTTGTTAAAAATGCCACCAATTGATCATAGGTGATACATTCCATTAGTTTCACTACTGCTGAGGTTAAACTTATAGGTCTATAGTTCGCCGCATTAAACTTGTCCCCTTTTTTGAACACAGGAGTGATGGTGGCAGTCTCCCAATCGTTTGGCAATCGTCCTGACCGAAATGATTGGTTCTTCAAGATGTAAAGCGGGTGAGCAAGAGAACTGGCACACTCTTTTAAAATTTTTGCACTAATACTATCAGGGCCAGGAGATTTGGTAGTATCTAATTTGTGCAATTTATCTTTTATTAAATTGGAGGAGAGGCATATGCCACTGAGACAATCTAAGTTTTGAGTGATCAACAAATTCGGTATATCCGCGTCTGGTTCAATTGTGAACGACTGAGCAAAAGTTTCAGCAAAAGTGTTGGCTGTCACGTAATCGTCCTCTACAGTGTGCCCGGATGCATCTTTCACCTACGGCTTTCTGACAGGCCCTGATAATTTATTGCAAATGTAGCTGTAGAACTTTTTGGGATTTTTCTGATCGGCAATATTTTTTTCATATTTATGTTTTATATCTTTGATGATTGACGAAACCCGATTAGGAAACGCACGATGAACCTTATAATCATCTTCCTTGTCTGTTCGTTTAAAGGTTCGCCAAAGGGAACGTTTCTTTTTTATTAATTTTAATATTTTGTTGTCAATCCATGGTTTAGAAGAAGATGCTTTGTATGTTATGGTGTAAGAATACTTATCAGTTGCTGGTTTTAAATGAGTTTTAAAACTTTCCCAATTTGTATCAACCGATGGTTGGTTTAAAAGGTTTGCCCAGTCTACAGTACACAAATATTCATCAGCTTTTTTAAAGTCAACAATCTTCTTTTGTAAAGTAACAGTTTTAGATCTCGCTACAAAACAAAGTTGGAGATCTAGCTTTAAAGTTACGTGATCAGATTTGCCGAATGGGTTTAAATAATTCAAATTTGCCAGTGAAGTATTATCAGACGTTAAAATCAGATCTAATGTAGACGGTCTTTGGTTCAGCCTATAACGGGTGGGTTCATTAACAAGTTGGCTCAGGTTGCTGTTGACTAGCAGATCTATTAATAGTTGCGAAGATGGACTGAAATGTTGACTCATATTTAAAGGCCAAGCTATGTCTGGCATATTAAAGTCCCCGAATACAAAAAGTTTATTGTGAGTAAAGGAAAGTGAATGCCGAAAGTATTAACATTTATAGGAGTTCCCGAAAATTCTGATAAAATCTGGTAAGAAACATATATACATACACCCCGTCTTAATCTATCAATTCGATCACTTCTGAAAAGAAGTGAGAAGAAATTGGAGTCAGAATAATCGAAATACTCATATTTGTATTGTAAATCTTCGTGTCGTTATTTTGTTGTACAATTCTTACGTCCTTTGTTAAAATATTGTGCTATAATATGGTCTCATTTCATTATAGACTTAAGCAAGATTGAGAAAGTACAAAAGAATTTGTCGATTTAACATATTTTGTCATAGAAATGGTTACCCAGATATCCTAAACTACTAAAGGTTTACATATACAACAATAAACCAGGAAGTGATGCATCAAAACCAAACCAAGTCTACTTTCTCTTGCCAACTTCCAACCTTAAAAGCGAAATTCACTAATTTCCCAACATTCTATACTAACTGAAGATCTCTACACATTGTTATTTTAATGAATTAAAATTTCGCCTGTTTGAAAACCGGTACACTACAGTGTCTTGGGTTTCGGGTTTTGTCTGGTGCTATTGGTCGTAAGTCAGTTGTATCGTCTTTTTCTTTAGGTGTCTCTGGCTTTGCATTAAGAAATTTCCGACTTTTAGAAGTACATACGCTTCCACCGTACATTGTATGGTTCACTACTCACCAGGCTCACTATAAATTTGTCGTGTAGAAAACTTGTATTATACCATTGTTTAAGTATATTATAGTTGGACAACCTAATACAAATTTTACTTCGCCTAAATAGTGAGCTTTAGGACAAGGAATCCAGGGGGCGTGGGACAAATTTTTCGTCAACGCGCATTTTCACTACAGTGAGCGAACGTATTAGGTTTATTTTACTCTACTTCAGATGGCGCCATCAAACATTAACAAAGGCAAACACCCTTCACTCTGCTCTTATACGAGGAGTTATCCATAAATCCATAATTAACATTGTTCCGTAAGAAGTAATGTGTATAGACATTAGGGTGATTCAAAAAAAAAAATAATTTTTTTTTTCGTGCAAAGAGGTTCAAAAGTTTCTTTTCAACGTAAAAAAATACCAGTTAAAATTTGAGCTCTTAATATTAATATTAAGACCGTCCGCATCGCGTTTTTCTATTTCCCATAAGAATAACATGGGAAAATTTTTGTTTGCACCTTCTGATTTTTATTGCTAGCCCGTCGTGTGTCGTGAAAAAAATTCAATCACATATTTTTATAGAGAATTGAACGCTCTACAAAAAGTGTCTCCTATGATTGTGCGAGAAACCTGATAGTTGAAGAGTTATTTTAGGCTAAAGTTAAATTTATCCAAATTTTGACGTTTTTGATGCATTACAATAAATTTGATGGTCTTATTGGAATAAATCACCACAAAAATTTATACACATTTTAAATTTAGTTTTTTAAACAGTAATTGTTTATAATTTTATGCTATAATAAGGCCAGTAAAACTCTTTCCGAACATTTTCAGCATCAGTGGGTTAAAAAATCATAGTCAGGTTTCTCGCAAAATCATAGGAGACACTTTTTGTAGAGCGTTCAATTCTCTATAAAAATATGTGATTGAATTTTTTTCACGACACACGACGGGCTAGCAATAAAAATCAGAAGGTGCAAACAAAAATTTTCCCATGTTATTCTTATGGGAAATAGAAAAACGCGATGCGGACGGTCTTAATATTAATATTAAGAGCTCAACTTTTAACTGGTATTTTTTTACGTTGAAAAGAAACTTTTGAACCTCTTTGACACGAAAAAAAAAAATATTTTTTTTTTTTGAATCACCCTAATAGACATATATATACAAAATATGAAAATATACTTGACATAAAAAATATGAAGCAACGCGTTGTAACGTGATACGAAAGAATTGTATTTAAATGAATTTGACGCCTATTTTTATTTGACTATATCTGGGGACTGACAGAAACTTTAAAATGGGTTTTTAAACTGGTATAATTGTTTAGTTTTACAAGATTTCGTAAAATTTTGATTCGTGGTGTCACAAAAATATTAGTGTGATTTTGACCTTACTATTAAATTATTAAATCAGATGTGATATTAATTACATCTGATTTTGTCAACCACATGAATATAATTTACATTAAAATAAGTTACAGACATTGTTTGAAATGTTTACTATATTTCGAAAACACTTCTTCAAGTGTTAATTTTTTTAAGATGTAATATTTGTCAGCGTTTCCAAAATTTTCCTCTTTGCACAGGTCAAGTATTTTTTCGTAAATCGCATTTTAAAATTTTTGTTATT